GCATCCCAAATTGTTGGATGAACCAAATCCAATGTAGCTGAATCACAATAGTTCACCAACCTCAAAATAGATGGAATAAGAGCGTTCGGGGATGATTCCCAGCATTCTAAACATCATTCCAGTGAGGTCAATATGTAATTCACCCACAGTTCTAAATCTATCTATATATAAATATATATATATATGTATATATATATATAGATGTATATATATATATATATATATATCGATAGTGGGTGTATATATATATATATAAATGCGTTCATAGAATTTCAAACATACATATATACATACATACATACATACATACATACATACATACATACATACATACATACAATCATACATAAATTCATACATACATACATATATACATACATACATACATACATACATACATACCTACGTACGTACGTACGTACGTACGTACATACATACATACATACATACATACATACATACATACATACATACATACATACATACATACATACATACATACATACATACATACATACATACATACATACATACATACATTACATACAACATACATACATTACATACATTACATACATTACATACATTACATACATTACATACATACATACATTACATACATACATACATACATTACATACATACATACATACATACATACATACATACATACATACATACATACATACATACATACATACATACATACATACATACATACATACATACATACATACATACATACATACATACATACATTACATACATACATTACATACATACATACATACATACATACATACATAGATATATATATATATATATACTTGTAGTAACCATGGGTAACCCCCCAAAAGTTGGAGGAACTAAATGGATTTATTAGCACCAACTATGTATGTATATATATATATACACATAATAACGGTGGGTGTTTTATTGAACACAATTGGTAAACAACTAACTATAGTCTATTTTTTGCGGAATTATTCTATATCACATATGAAACTGACCACTTGATTTAGGGCCAAGGGCCAAGATTGATGGTTTTGGCAACGACCAGTCAGTTCACCCTGCCAAAATGCGTCTGCGGCATCGGTTCAAATTGTCTCCTCTAAAAGTCCACTGGACAAATACATTCTCAATATACATAGCATTTATCTGGCTGAATCAGATGAATGGCTGGCTGGGAAATCCCCGAACTAGATGGAGGTTTATGGCTGGGAAAATCACTTTGTGAGGTCATGATCAAAATCATCCAGATGGATAATGATGATGAAAAAAGTCTATTGTCATCAAAGAACAAGGTTGGAATTTCACCATTTGATTTCTGAGTTTGAATTGGATCATCATGGTAAGAAACCTCCAAATTGTTGGGTAGTAAAACCGGAAAAAACACCTGAAAATATCAATCATAAAAAACTATAAGATGATATAGGTTATATATACTTATATTATAATAACCTAAATTAGTCACCCCGGTATTATATCAGTTCCTAGAATCATCAACCAACAGGGTTTTAACCGTTAGTGATGTGGCCGTAGGGATTTCGTCGGGCCGCGGGGGATTCAGGTGGCTCTCGTCATGGCAAACAGTGGATTCAAGGGGAATTTCATTTTTTTTCAAGGTGATCTGGTTGGTGGTTTCAACCCCTCTGAAAATGATCATTTATAGTTGGTTTACCCATCAAAAATGTTGATTGTCCATAGTTTTTCTGGTTGGTGGTTTTAACCATCTGGTAAAATATTAGTCAGTGGGAAGGATTATCCCATCTATTATAGAAAATAAAATTCATGTTTGAAACCACCAACCAGTGATTGATGGGGAATTAAGCGAAAAGAATGACGGTCACAAATGTCACACCGTTTCGGATAAATGGATATAAATGGGATACATGGTTTATCTTAGAAGGGATCTTTCTTGGTGGCATGGTGCATGGGTTTTCCATGGTTTGAACATGTCACTCCCAAATATAGAGCGCTTTCCTGTAAATTGTTCCTTCAACCAAGTCTAGGAACAATGGAGTTAGAATCAAGAACAGGTAATTTGGTAAACACAATGCCATAAGCCATAAACCATCACCAAAATCACCAGACTCCGAAATTGGAGAATTGGAGTCTTATGATCTTTATGCCATTGGGTTTACCACATCACAGATACCTGATTGGCTTCCTTCTCAAGGATCCAGGACTTTTTTTTGTCCAATAGATGTGGAGGACTAGATCTACCTCTGTCAGAATTCTGGGCTGCTAGGACTGCGAGGTGTAGCAATTCATCCATGTTCAGCCTTGCCTAGGGGGTTTGGAGTAAGCCGAAGTATCACCGGGGCCCCTAAAAAATGATCAGCACCTCCTTTTTTCCTGGACTTTAAGGCCAAGACCATGGTCTCTGTTATCCAATCATATTGTCACAATGTTCTTTTGGCGGACAGGACCCAATGGCGCGTTCAAACATCAAATCAAATAGCACTTGGATCGAGACCCTGCCAGCTGGGACTGCTGCGCAGGCTAACCCTCGATTGACTTTTGATCGCACATGTGTTGGTTCCTAGCCATGGCCTCGTGGGGTAGCGCAGGTCCCGAAGTGAGCTGGGGATTTCGTGAGCTGGAGGTGGGAGGCAAATGTGACTTGGTGGCTGAGGTGGTCTCCATCGCAGGTGACTCTGTCTTGGTCGTGCTTTTCCCTGGAAATCAGAGAGCACAGATCTTAGGTGTGGTGACGGTCCCAGGTGATTGTTGCAGCATGTCCATCTTCGATGCAACTCTGATGGAAAAAGGTGGGACACCGACTTTTCTGGTAGATGATCCGGAGGATGTCTTGTTTCATGGTTTCTAGCAGTCGTGACGGTCTTTCGAATTTGATCGAGCTGTGCTGTGGAATCGGTATCGGAACCAAGCTGCAGGAATGACACCGGTCTGTGCGGTTGACTGGTCCAAACCTATGGTCGAAGCCTATGAGGCCATGCACCCTTAGGTTCCAGTGATCCATGGAGACATCGCTGACAAGGCCACCATCTTGCGTGTGGCCAGTTAGGCCATCATCCAAGCACCCTTGGATGCCAGCAGAAAGGGGTTCGTCCCAGGTGCAGCTCAGCCAGTGGTTGGGTTGATTCAGACAGCATACAGAGCAGAACTTTTTGCAGTGATGGTGGCTCTGGAATATGCCATGGCACGTCATGCTTGTGTCCGCGTTTGGACTGACTGCCAAAGCGTGATTGATGCTTTTCAGAAGTATGTTTGTGAAGGCACTGTTGTGTAGCCCAATGGCCGCCACTCTGACTTGTTCAAAGGGATGCAGGAACTGGCGAGAAACCTTGGTCATGGCCGCCTGGCCCTTATGAAAGTCCCAGCACACCAAAAGACAGCAGAGTATACAAATGACTTGGAACTCGGGTTGATTGATGGGAACAACGCTGCAGATACCGCCGCGCAAGCAGCCAATAAAACCAGACCTCCGGCAGTGTAGTCTCTTTGGAATGCCTACTCCTTGCAGGTTGTTCAGTCCCGCACTCTCGCTGTTTGGATTCGTTCCCACATGCTTGCTGTGAGTAAAATTTGGAATCAATCAGTCTATTTTGCTTCCATGCCAGTCCCAAAGCCTCCGCGGCCTAATTACCCGACAAGGCCGAAAGGAGCCAGACCTTGTCTGGGAAGATCCTCGTGGTTTGGATCTCCAACGTCCAACTTTTGGCCGTTTTTTGGCCTGCCCTTGCATCCGCTGTACATAGATGGACTTAATGCATCCGTGATCCCCGGCAGCCGCTCCGTTGGATTTCGTACTTGCAGTTGTACATAAGTTTCCAGCGGCATCAATGCCCGTGGTCCATCATCAAGTGTGGTGGCAAATGGACTGCTGAGCTGGCGAACCATGTCCGTTTAAACATGCATGTCAAGTATTTCCGCCTGATGCTTCAGCAGTACCTCAGAGACGCCGAAGTGCGTTTCAGCTGAGGCCATACAGTCATTGGATTGCTTGTTTTCGGGGTTCCATCGGGTTTCATCTGTCCGAAGATGAGTTCAAAGTCATTGAAGAAGTGTTGGCCCAAAAACTCACAGTGTCAGCAACGGGGTCAGGTGGTTCACTTGACAACTTGAGGGGCGTCTGACTGCAACCGATTGGCTGACGCTGCGAGACCCAGCGCGGCAACGTTGCTCTCAGAGGAAGAAACATCAAATCAAATAAGGAGCAAATCTAATCACAGTTCGCCCGGCGTTTTTTTGTCTTTTTATTTGATTTTGATGTGGTTGCCACTTCGCATCTTTTGGCTGAATAATAGACCCAGGGTTCAGGCCGGCGCTCAAGCAGATTGTGCCGCGCACGCAATTGCGGGCTCGGGGTGAAAAAAGACTGCTAATGTATAAACTTACATTGCATATATAACGTATCTCTCTCCAAATATAAATATATATATATATGATATAACCTACATGTATAATCAAATGTAAATATACATAAAGTTGACCCCAAACACATCCAAAGAATCTCTGTCCCAGCTGCCCATTGCTTCAGAAAATATCGAGCCGTCGGAGTTCCCAAGGGCACCGGTCTCTAAGAGAACTGGCCTCTTGGGAGCGACAAAAAAACAAGGTCAGTCGGGCGCTGCCAAAGAGGAGCCCCTCCAACCCGGAGGGGGCTGAGATTTCCCAGTGGAACAATCATATAATGGTCTAATATAATTATATTAGATGCCTGAAAAATGTATAATTATAGGAACTGATCAGATTTCTGTAAAGATTAAACAATGATTTACAAATATTTATAATCAATCTGGACTATATGCTCTTTTTGCATCAGCTCTGGTCTTGCCAAAGTGCGAGAGGGGGCCGAAAGCACTTTTGCAGCCGACCGCTGGCTCGCACACGGCGAAAACATGTTGCATAACTATGACGAAACTTAGTCACTCACTCATAATTTACCTTGGATGCACGTTTATACATTTTAATGTAATTATGTGTACATTATACAACATCAAAATTAGGTGCCAATGACAATAATGATTGTCCAGTCCATATGAAAGAGATAATGGACTGAAACATCTTCAAAGAGCATATGACAAATTGTTGGCGAAACATTCGCTGAGTATATACCGCTCAAATCTGGCTCACTTTGGCCGCAGCTCCAACTGGTTCTTCAAACATCACCGGGGCACCAATTGGCTGCCGCGATTGTCCTGCGTTCCGGAGGTGGTTGCCACAAAGAGAAACATGGATGAGTTCGGGTTTGAACACTTGGGGCTGGCAACTTACTTGCTTGTTTTAGGTTGAGCCACCCCTGCTGAACAAAAAGTCAGCTGCGATTGGTTGAAACTAAACATGGTGGAAACAACCACCCAGATATAGCCAGATTAATGTGGTAAACCCAATGCCATAAAGTATCCCATTAACCAACCAATTGGGGGTCATTTGCATTCATAAGGGTATACCCAATTTCAAAAACCTCAATTGGGGATGGTTTTTTGTTGGGTTTACCACATTAAAGATGGAAGATTCCTTTGAAATTGACTTTCCTCCATGTCACACTTGGATAATCACACAAATATGTGGCTGAGTAGACTATGAGTCTCAAAGCTTATAACCGTTTTCTAAGCCAGGCAGGGGTTTTTACAGGTGTACAGTACAGTGGTAAACCTAATAAAGAACCTCCAGCATCATCCCAAAAAGGGAACTTCTCGGGCACCAAGTCGCAGCAAGTCTTGAAAAAACGATGCATCGGTGTTTCGAACAATTCTGACATATCAACATATTTAATTACCCAACCAAGGTTTATCCAGTCTAAATGGTGAAGTAGAGTTTCAATGCTAAGTCTTCCTTATCTCAGCCGAATTCTAGCGACTTGCTGTGCCATTCTTCACTGCTACCCTCCCCCCAATTTGGAATTGTCATTGGCTGCACTAAGTGTATACGCTCTGGTGGTGGCGAACTTGAAATAGACATTGACCTACTCTGAACGACCCCAAGAATTCGATGTTTTAGTCAATGGCTATGGGTCAAATGGGTAAAAACCCTCTTTGTCACATGAATTCATCTGCGATTTTATGGTGGTTTATGGATGCTCATCCCCTTTCAATACCACGGTACGGTGGATGGTTGCGAAATCCTGCACCAGTTGAAAATGGCGGCAAACATCCCATTATTTAAAGGGGTTGGTGGTTTATCCCATTATTTAATATTATTTAATATTATTTAGTATTATTTAATATTATTTAATATTATTTAATATTATTGAATATTATTTATAGGGTTGCAACAATTCAACCATCCTTTTGGTGATGCAGGATTTCGCAACCATCCAGAGACTTGCTATGCAAGTCCAGAGCCCAAAGGAGCGAGGCAAGATAGAACACACACGTTTAACATGTTTAGAGCAATGAAGAACAAATCATCAACAATAAGATCAAGTAGTTGTTGATATATCAAATGTTTGATAACAATGTTTGATATATCAACAATAGTATACTATATGATAGTTGTTGATATATCAACTTATCAAAACAAATGATATCAGCGGTGCTGATCAACTACAAAACAAAGCAAATCATGATCATTTAATGATGATAATTTGAAATAATCAGAGTTGCATGAAGTTACCCTGTGGAAAATTAGCATAGCTATGGAAAATGGGCCATTTTTCCATAGCTATGTTAGTTTACCGGAGGGTAACTTCTGAAACTACCCAACAAAACAACTCAAACGGGTAAATCCCTAAGTCGGACCCATCCTCTGTTCATCTTTGGCGGCGAACCGCCTACCCCGGCACTCTAATTGGGTACTTGACCTGAGGCTGAGATCTTTGGGACGCTGGCTTTCAACCAACCAAGAAAACCCTGGGTTTCACCCGGTGTAAAGTTGGGAGTTTAACCATAGTTGATGGCGATTTTTCATGGGGATTCAAGCAGGATATATGATTAATGAATAACAATTAATGATGATATAGTATGATATAGTGGAGATATATCATCAACATTAATGTTATCTTCTGATAGCACCGCTACCGTGATTTTTTTTGGTTTACTCAGCGACTCGACCCACGGGAGATCCAGAATTTCGGGTTTCTTGGGACGAGAAAACCCTTCAGTTTCCGGCTATCGAATAATATAATTGTTTATCCAATCATATCCAACCTTTCCAGATGCTCTAATTTTGTTTCGTATACTTCCCCCTCTTGGGACAAACCATCAGTTTCCCGTTCAAGTCCATTAAACCATCATTTTGGGATTGTCTAAATCCCATATAAACCCAATAAAATCAATTTAAAATGTTACATCCCATTTAAATCATCATTAAATCCCAATTAAATCCACTTAAATCCCATATAAATCACTAAAAAATCCCGTGAAATCCCATTGAAATCACCTTTAAATCTGCGAATGACCAGCAAGGAGCCGGCCTCAATTCCCTCCTTCAAGGCGATCCAGCAATTTTTGATGCATTGCCATGATGTCCTGGGGATCATCGATCCGGGGCCCTAAAACGGGTGGGTTGGGTGGGCCGGGCCATTGTGCATGGCTATGTTACCCTCTGGTTATTTAACATAGCTATGAAAAATGGCCTATTTATAGATGGTTTACCTAAAAATGATGATTTTCTAGTTCGCTATATTGAAATGTTAAATAACCAAATGATGATGAGGATGACGATGAGGATCAGGATGATGATGATGATGATGATGATGATGAGGGTGACTATGATTTCTATGATGGTGAGAATGATAATGCAGGGGACGATGTAGAGGTTGATTAGGTTGGGGATGATGATGTTGAGGAGGATGATGTTGAGGAGGATGAGGTTGAGGATGATGAGGTTGAGGATGACGAGGTTGAGGAGGATGATGTTGAGGATGATGAGGTTGAGGATGATGAGGTTGAAAATAATGATGTTGAGGAGGATGATAAGGTGGATGATGATGATGATGATGATGATGCAATGATGATGATGATGATGATGGTGATGATGATGGTGATGATGATGATGACACTGATATATATATAAATGAGTTGTATATATATATATATATAGATATGGATTCAAAGAATTTATGTATATAGACTTGATGTCAGAAATATTTTGCCTATCATGCATGAGATGTATTGCCTATGATGTATTGTTTATGCGTATGTGTGTAATAGGGATGTCCATCACTTAGTACATGAATATAAATTTGTACGCTATATCAATATATCTTTCATATCCTTACATATTAAATCATATGTGATGTGCATATTAGAGAGAAACCCAATGCTACCACGAACGGGCGGCAAATACAATCCCCAATGATAAGTTTAGTATTGGGTTTGTCCCCAAAAATATAATGCATATATATATATACATATATTCATAATGTAGATATGTATGTATATAGGTACATGTGTATCAATAATTAGTATACTTTATATATACATATATATGGTTAAATTATACTAATTTACTTACCTGACATAAAGCTATATTGGGATAAAACCGCTGATTGGCCATCAATATAGTGAGGTCGCAGTTGGGTCGCAGTGAGTATGTATATATCCATATATATATATATACATATACACTTATAATTAAATATATACATAAATAAATGTGTGTATATATATAGGTACAACTAGTTTTTGATATACACATCTATGTATATATCTATATATATATATATATGTTATGTATGTCATTGTACATACCTGCGAAACCCAAAACAAAATAGATTATTTTAGTATTCTATGTATATACACAAATCATGGAAGTCTCGAATGGGGGAAAGTGTATATTTGTTTCAATCCAAAAAAATGATAAAGTAGCTGTGTCTAAAACACACCAGGGTTGACAAACACCTGAGCTTCCACTTGGGTTTCTTAAAGAAATGGTTTACCCCTCAATTTGATCAATCCTCATTTTCCTAAAAAAAAAAGGAGCCATTTTCAGTGCTCCCTCATTTTGCAGACCCAATGGGTCTATTTCCCCACCTCTTCGCTATCGCCCAAGGTGACAAAAAAGTCGTCGTCCAAGTGCATGAGAGCTGGAAGCCATGCCTGGGAGGGGTCATCTAAAAAAAAGGGTTCCGGTTTGCCTTTCTTTAATGGAATGAACAAGAGTCTTGCCAAGAAAAAATAATGGTGATTTAATGCTGACTTAATGTGGTGGCCGGAAATGGTGATCTAACGGTGAAAACATGATTATCCTCTGGGAATTTCAGAGTTTGCGAACTGGAAGCCATGGCCCATGTAGTTGGCACACGCTTGGTAGACGGCCGTGTATTTTTGTCCATTTCAGGGTCATTTCGCCCGATTTAGTGGGGATTTAGTCGGGATTTATTAGGGTTCAGTGGGGATCTAATGGGAATGTATTTATGCTGGAATATATATATATATATATTGTACATATATATGTATATACATACACATATGGATACAAGTTATAAGCAACATATGTGATTTGGGTTTGCCTAAAAATCGGAGAATCTGAATTTTCTTCTGAACACTGCCATGTTTTGGTATACCCCATTTTTTGACACACCCATAGGAGGTTCAAACTCTTTGATGGGCCATGGAGTTAGTCGAAGCTGGTTGGTACATGGGTTAGGCAACCCCTTACAATGTGGGGCCACCCAAGTTATGTTTGATGGTTTTTAAACCCATGATTAACTTTAGTTATAAGCATATATAAGTATCATAAACCATAGTTATTGGAGTTATTTGCACCAACTACATGGGTACCATACCCTCTTAATCATCACCATGTCACTCAGTCCATGGCCTAGAGTTCAACATGGGCAACTATGAGTTTTAGCGAACCTATTGGGCCTTGGCGAACCAACGGCAGAGGTAAACATAGGCATTGGATGGAATTGGGAGTTTCATTCAATAGTTAGCAAACATATGGACGCAACAAACAATCATTGGACTCTTTTTTTTTAAACCAGCCACACTCATAGTGGAGTATCATGTGTTTAACGTCAACGGGGACAAGTGTCTCGGGGACAGTTGTACATGTTCGGTCCATTGGAGGCATATCCTCAGCCAACTATATCATAGACCGAACTATCCCAAACCAATGATGCCTTTCAAGGATATCATCGTTCTATCCCAGGTTTTGTTTGTATCCTTTGATGTTATGTCGCCAAGTTGGTTGAAATGTTGGTTGATGCATTTTTCCTTCAATCACACAAGGATACATAGGATACAGGCAAAAACTTAGTTCAAAGTTGTTCAAATAAACGCTGATACAATATGGCTATAAATGGTTTGCCACACCGGAATACAAGAAGCGAAACCGATGCTATAAATTGCTATAACCACTAATCATGCATTGTTTTTTAAAAATATGGACAGGATGACTGTGCCAACCCGCACAAAGGTCAGTAGTTAAGGCACTCAATTCATGGTCAATTTTTGGTAGTCCGCAAAAAAACATAATTGCTGGTTATGGTTTTCCATCTGAAAAAAACTGAAGGACTGAACATGATTAGACTACCCATCCAAGGTTGGGAATCCAATGTTGGGGGAATACCATTTGGCCCTAACTTTCGCATTCCATGCGATTCCTTCTCACTGCTAGTCTCAGCAGGACTTGTGGCTGGAACCCAGTTAGGACTTGTGGCTAGGAACTACCGTACTGTTTATGAAAGTGGTGATGTTCCATAGTTATGTTAGTTTACCGGAGGGTATACTATACCCCACTTAGATGAATGGAAGATCCGAGTATCCCCGGTTAGGGTTCTCAGCAGCCAACCAACTCAATTCTTGCGTCCAACAAAAATGTGCAGCACATCCTTTGCAGAGCAGCATCTTTGTCTCTGCCAAGATGCTTGAAGAATCTGCAGTTGTGTAATCAACTCACTGCCTCACTAGCCAGCAATGGATGCCGGTCCAGTCTATGGGCGAATTTTGACACTCACCGAACATACCTTGTGAAGCTGTGGAAACCTTTGGCAACATGGACTTTTCGGCTGGGCCTATGGTAATCAGTCAAGACCCTGGTGCCCTGGTGAAAACAAAATAGCTGGCAAATGGAGGTTCAGCCCCCCAAATATGGTAGCATGTTGTAGAATGGCTTTTGATCCGGATGTTTGCACGACTCCCTGGAGAGCCTCTTGACGCTTGACGCCGTTGACGCCGTTTACGCCGCGGCCGTCTTGCGTGCCAGGCGCAGCACTTGGTGACTCTCTGGACGGCCTCTTGACGCTTGACGCCGTTGACGCCGTGGCTGTCTCGCGTGGCAGGCGCGGGCACTTGGTGACTTTGTGGAGAGCCTCTTGACGCTTGACGCTGTTGACGCCGTTGACGCCGCGGCCGTCTCGCGTGGCAGGCGCGGCACTTGGTGACTCTCTCTGGAGAGCCTCTTGACGCTTGACGCCGTTGACGCCGTCTGTCTCGCGTGGTAGGCGCGGTGACTCTCTGCAAAGCCTCTTGATGCTTGACGCCCTTGACGCCGGTGACGCATTCTGAACCATGCCTGAACCGTGTCTGGCAGTCTGAATCGTGCCTGAACGAGTTTGAACCGTGCCTGAACCGTGTCTGAACCAGTCTGAACCTTGTCGACCATGTCTGAACCGTGTCTGAACCGGTGTGAATCGTGTCAAAACCACTTTGAAGCGGAACCAATCTGAGCCCTGTCTGAACCAGTCTGAACTGTGTCTGAACCACTCTGAACCAGTCTGCACCGTGTTTGAACCAGTCTGAAACCTGTCTGAACCAGCCTGGACCATGTCTGAACCAGTCTGAACCGTGTCTCAACCAGTCTGAACCGCGTCTGTGTGAAAAAGCGTCTGCGTGTAAAAGGCTTCTGTATGAAAGCTGCACTGTGTAAAGGCTTCTCTGTGTAAAAGCTTCTGTGTGTAAAATTGTCTGTGTGCAACAGTGTCTGTGTAAAAGCTGCCCTGTGTGAAAGTTTCTGTGTGTAAAGGCTTTTCTATGTAAATACATTGGTGTGTAAAAGCTGCCTTGTGCAAGGGCTTCCCCGTGTAAAAGCTTCCCTGTGTAAAAGCGTCTGTGTGTAAAAGCGTCGGTGTGGAAAAGGCTTCTGTGTAAAAACTGCCCTGTGAAAAAGCTTCAGTGTATAAAGGCTTGTCTGTGTAAATACTTCCGTGTGTAAAAGCTGCCTTGTGCAAGGGCTTCCCTTTGTAAAAGCTTCTGTGTGTAAAAGCTGCTGCGTGCGTAAAAGCGCTGCTCTGTGACAGCTCTGTGCGTAAAAGCGTCTGTGTGAAAAAGCTGCTTTGAACAAAGGCTTCCCTGTGTACAAGCTTCTGTATGTAAAAGCGTCTCTGCCTAAAGGCTTCTTTGTGTAAAAGCTTCTGCGTGTAAAGGTCTCTGTGCAAAAGTTGCCCTGTGTAAAAGCTGCTGTGTGTAAATGCGTCTCTGTATAACTACTTCTGTGATCTTCTGTGTGTAAAAGTTGCTCTGTGCGCTCTGTGCAAAGGCTTCCCTGTGTAAAAGCTTCTGTGCGTAAAGGCATCTCTGTGTAAATACGTCCGTGTGTAAAAGCTGCTCTGTGTAAAGGCTTCCCTGTGAAAAGGCTTCCCTGTGTAAAGGCTGTTTGTCTGTCTGTCTGTCTGCCTGCCTGCCTGCCTGGCTGTCTGTCTGTCTGTCTGTCTCTGTCTGTCTGTCTGTCTGTCTGTCTACCTCTCTGTCTCTCTGTCTGTCTGTCTGTCTGTCTGTCTGTCTGTCTGTCTGTCTGTCTGTCTGTCTGTCTGTCTGTCTGTCTATCTCTCTATCTCTCTATCTAGCTATCTAGCTATCTAGCTATCTAGCCGCTCTAGCCATCCTAATCTAATCTAATCTAAATCTAAATCTATCTATATGTCTATCTATCTATCTATCGATCGATCTATCTATGTATCTATGTATCTATGTGTATCTACGTATTTATATATCCATCTATCTATCTATCTGACTATCTATCTATCTTGTCTTATCTTATATTATCTTATCTTACTATCTATCAATCTATCGATCTATCTATCTATATTTTTATCTATCTATCTATCTTTCTATCTTATTTTATTTTATCTTATCTATCTATCCATCCATCCATCCATCCAACCATCCATCTATATACCTCTCTATCTGTCTATCTATCTATCTATCTGTCTATCTATCTATCTATCTACCTATCTTATCTTATCTTATCTTACCATCTATCGATCTTTCTTATCTTATCTTATCTTATCTTATCTTATCTATCTATCCATCCATCCATCCATCCATCTCTCTGTCTGTCTATCTATCTATCTATCTATCTTATCTAAGTATCTGTCTATCTATTTATCTATCTGGCTATCTATCTATCTATCTATCTATCTTATCTTATATTGTCCTATCTTATCTTATCTTATCTTATCTATATATCTATCCATCCATCCATCTATCTATCTATCTGTCTATCTCTCTATCTCTCTATCTATCTATCTATCTATCTAATCTAATCTATCTAATCTATCTATCCACCCACCTCTTTCTCATCCAATTATCATCTGCTCTCATCCCAAGTCTCACCTTCGTCTCATAACAATCGGAAGGCTTAACTTTAATTTCTCATTAAGAATCATTTAGAGCCTATCTTGCTGGTGGTTTCGACCCCACGGAACAAACATGCTCATCGGTTTGGACCATTGTCTCAGGAAAAAAAACAGAAAAACACAGATACTTCAAACATTTCAAAACCAGCCAGCATCAACCATGGTTATGGGTCAAAACCCTGGCACCTAAGTACCCTAAAATAGCTGCCTAATGGATGGATGTGCAAATTCCCCAACATATGGAAATAATAGATAGGAATAGATTCGGATAGATATGTCCATATGTTTTATGAATTACCATATCTATTCCATATTTAACATTCGGATAAATATGAATACCCTCTGGTAAACTAACAGTTTGCTATTGAAAATGACCATTTATAGTGAGTTTTCCCATAAAAAAATGGTGAAAATGGTGATTTTCCATAGTTTTTTGTATGTTTACCAGATGGTAATAGATCATTTCCAAAGGTAACTTGACCCATCGGAATCGAGTGCTCCGAGTGGCAACATGGGGAATCCAGCATCTGCACCGCCTGTCGTGGCTTGTCGTTGGAATTGGAATATATATATATACATATATATATGGAATATATATGGAATATATATAATCTGTAGCATCTATATTCATCTATAGGCTATAGGATCTATATTCATCGATTAGCATCTATAAGGCACGCCTGGTGATGGGATTTTTATAATGGGAAACATGGATATAGTGGCGAAACATGAAATTCTATATTTATATAGCTGGTTGGTGGTTGAACCCTACCCCTCTGAAAAATGATGGACTTCGTCAGTCGGGATGAAATTCCCAACTGAATGGAAAGTCAAAAAAATCCGTGGTTCCAAACCACCCACCCGCATCTATATGCATCTACAGGGCAGAAGATTGAAAAAAAAACATGGAGCCTGCATCTAACGAAACCAAAATCTATTCACCTAGTCGGGTTCCAAGTCGTAACCTGCCCAGAAGATATGATTGGATCTTTTGTAATGTTGGTCTTTAGAATCCCCAAAGATCCGATTGTCTCTGTCGGGTTTCCAACAAGACGGTTTGGATGGTTACCCATTATAGAGCAACTCTTCCATACAGAAATGCTATACCACATGTCCCATCATTCATTGATCATAGTTCCAGCATGTTCCAACAATCCTATGTAAATTGTTCCCACCATAAATTGCCATAAATTGATTCATGCATTTTCCTGTCGCTCTTATGTGGAGGTTTCCATAAATGGGGTACCCCAAAATAGTTGTTTTTTTTTTGGTTTCAGATAAAAAAAAAAAAAAACTATCAAAATCCTATTAAAATCGATGATTTAGGGGATACCCCATGGTTAAGAAACAACCGTACGGGCTTGGTTAACGACTTGAGCCGCCCCACGTTTAGCGCGCGCCACGTCCCGCCTTCATTCGGAAGGACTTCTGGTCACCTCTATGGCCCTTCGGGTTCCTGAGACACTGGGAGTTAGCGACCAACAAACGTGTTTTTTTTTTGCTGGTCATATATGGGAAATATACATATATTCAGAAATAACATGGGAATATATGCTCATTTATATGTATTTAGATTAATATATGATGTATAATGGTGATAGAATGGCATATATATATATAACTAATATGTATAATTATATATATGTTTTTTCGGATGTCATTGGAAGCTCGAATCACTCGACTCTGGCGGGATTGAACCATGTTTAAATCCACATGTTGCGACATGTTGCTTGTTGCACAACAACCATGTGGGTGTGCAACCACACATGTCACATCACTCCATCTTGGATGCTGTGCCAAAAGGTGGGTAGCTGCATGATATCTATGTATATTATATACATAATGTTCACCTCTGATTTATATGTAGCCCCCCCTCTTTTCCCCTAAATAGACTTAAAGCCACCATCAAACTTGTTTGTATGTAAAGGTTTTCAATTACCACAGTTTAAAACGAAAACATTATTATTAAGGGTCATTCATTATTTGTTTTAGCTTTATTTAGGGGTCATTTATTATTTGTTTTGGGGCTCTGGTTAGCTTTATTTAGGGTGGGTTTAAAAATCGTAGGTCAACATTATGTGTATATACATATATATAATGTATAAATATATGTATATATATTATACACATCTGTGCGTCATATCTATCCTCTCATCACATTGTCACAAAAAAACAAAAGACATCATCATCATCATCATCATCACCATCAACATCAACAGCAGCAACAACAACAACTACTACTACTACCACTACCACTACTACTGCTGCTGCTACTACTACCACCACCACCACTACTACTTCTACCCTCAGCACATGCGCTACGCCCCACAGGTACTTCACTATATACACTTTCATACGATCTTTGCAGGTATTATTTAGGGTTTCTTTAGGGTTTCTTCAGGGTTTCTTTAGGGTTCATTTAGGGTTTCTTTAGGGTTCATTTAGGGTTTCTTTAGGGTTCATTTAGGGTTTCTTTAGGGTTCATTTAGGGCTTCTTTGGGATTAATTTAGGGTTTTTCCTAGGATTTTTGTATGTTTTCTTTGGGGTTTATGTAAAAAGTATTGAAACCAGTTTTTGAAAATCAGCCGATTCCCCGCAGAGGGTCAACAATCGCGTCCCTCAACAATCAGCCTCGGGAGGGACATGAAGCTAAAAACCATCTCAACATAGGTCAACAAGGCCACAAAGTACTGTAAAGGTCAACAAAAATTTCGGTTCCCATCATCCCTCATCCCAAAAAATAACAAAAACGAGGTTCTGAGGTTCCCAACAATCGTCCCAAAAAATCCCAAGTTTGGGGCATGGCATGTGATGCGCTGAATTTTGCCCAGCTTCACATGTTTGAAGGAGATCTCCTTAGCTCGTGACGGAGAAACATCTGCCCCGGACTGGAATAGATCCCAAACTAGGGCGAAGAAATGGTTACTTGTATGCGTGTTTCTATATATATATATGAATAGAGATAGGGATATATATATATATATATATGTTTTTTTCAACAAAGAATGCACAATTGTGTATATATAATTCGTATATATATATATAAATTATCAAATACAAACCTATATATATATATATACAGTCAGATCTCGTGTTTACACATATTGCATGTATGTCTGTCACGCATATGTATATATATATATACCGTCTGGTTATTTAACATAGCTATGGAAAATCCCTGAACTAAATGGAGGTTTCTAGCTGGCAACATCATCTGTTTCTATGGGCAATGGCTTCCATAGCTATGTTCAATGGCCATTTCAGGAACCTGAATGGAGGTACCTACACAAGGCCTATATAAGGCCTATGTAAGGGAATATCCACACAAACTATGGCCTTTTTTTGGTACAGTACCTCCGTTTTAGGATCCTGAAATTCCCAGTGATATGTAACAAATAACCAGAGGGTATATCTATTTCCAGATCCATGGATAGATCAAATAATTCCACTTGGGAGTTCCAGTTATTTTTGTGGCTGTCTTTGGTGAGTCAAAAGCCTGGCACCTATAGAGTCCCACCTGTAAAACAGCTGGTTAATGAATGTTTTTTTCCCCAGTCATATGGTAAGTTCATAGGTAACTTGACACATAGCCATACTTACAATCTTATAGGGGCTATATCCCAAATTAGGAGGTTATCACCATGGTTATTCCCATAGCCATGACCCCGCACCCAGCATCCCCCCAATATCAAACACACCAATCTTAGATAACCTGCAACAAAAATAAAATGGCCAGTATGTGTTTCCCCTTGGATGGCAAATCATAGGATTAAACTACACATGCGAGGTTCCCCAGTCCACAAATGTTCGTACTATGTTGATATTGCGTGCAGTACAAAAATTACTTTACTTCGTGTGATCCCCACCATGACATTTATACATTTTGTTACTCGCAAATCTTCTGGCATTCTATCTGACATATCTTCTGGCATTCTATCTGGCATATCTTCTGGCATATGTTCTGGCATATGTTCTGGCATTCTATCTGGCAAATCTTCTGGCATTCTATCTGGCATATCTTCTGGCATTCTATCTGGCAAATCTTCTGGCATTCTATCTGGCATTCTATCTGGCAAATCTTCTGGCATATCTTCTGGCATATATATTTTGACATATCTTCTGGCATTCTATCTGGCGTATCTTCTGGCATATCTTCTGGCATTCTATCTGGCATATCTTCTGGCATATGTTCTGGCATATCTTCTGGCATTCTATCTGGCATATGTTCTGGCATATCTTCTGGCATATGTTCTGGCATACCTTCTGCCATTCTATCTGGCATATCTTCTGGCATTCTATCTGGCATTCTCTCCGGCATATCTTCTGGCATATCTTCTGGCATATATTCTGACAAATCTTCTGGCATTCTATCTGGCGTATCTTCTCGCATATCTTCTGGCATATGTTCTGGCATTCTATCTGGCATATCTTCTGGCATATGTTATGGCATATCTTCTGGCATTCTATCTGGCATTCTATCTGGCGTATCTTCTGGCATATGTTCGGGCATTCTATCTGGCATATCTTCTGGCATATGTTCTGGCATATCTTCTGGCATTCTATCTGGCATTCTATCTGGCATATCTTCTGGCATATTATCGGGCATTCTATCTGGCATATCTTGTGGCATTCATTCTATCTGACATTCTATCTGGCATTCTATGGGGCAAATCTTCTGGCATATGTTCTGGCAAACATTCTGGCACTTTATCTGGCATACCTTCTGGCATTCTATCTGGCATACCTTCTGGCATTCTATCTGGCATATCTTCTGGCATTCTATCTTGGCATATCTTCTGGCATTCTATCTGGCATATCTTATGGCATTTTATCTGGCATATCTCATGGCATTTTATCTGGCAAATCTTCTGGCATCTCTTCTGGCATTCCATCTGGCAGTTGAGGTCCAGCGGTGCACACTGAGCTGGGAGCGGTGCACACTGGGCTGGGCAGGTCCCAGGTTGAGGTCCAGCGGTGCACACTCAGCTCAAAGGTCCCTGATTAAGGTCCAGCGGTGCACACTGAGCTGGGAAGGTCCCAGGTTGAGGTCCAGCGGTGCACACTGAGCTGGGAAGGTCCCAGGTTGAGGTCCAGCGTTGCACACTGAGCTGGGCAGGTCCCAGGTTGAGGTCCCAGTGCACACTGAGCTGGGAAGTTGGCAAAGAGCTTGGCGAAGAGAGTTGGCAAAGAGCTTGGCGAAGAGTTGGCAAGGCGGAAGTGGAGGTGGAAGTTGATGCAGACATGGTCGAGGAGAAACTAGAGGAGGAGGAGGAGGAGGAGGACGAGGACGAGGAGGAGGACAGCTAGCCGAGGAGGAGGAGGAGAACAACTCTGATAAAATCTAACAACCCTCACCTGGCAGGTGGGAAACAAAATGACCAAGAGTTGTATACCTCAGTATTGGATGTATTAGATTGAAATACTCTAATGATTGGACCCCAATTCACAAATAGATCCATCATTGCAACAAACGATACGTTGTTTTCAGGCTTTTGAACATGGAGGGGATTCGTCTCCCAAGTCACACCTTGAAGTTTGGATCGTCAGTATTGATCGGAAGGGGCATTTTATGCTGAGTGTTTGCACCGCATATCCACACGCTGGCAACGAAGTGGTCACCCTAAAAACACATTTACGGCTTCCTTCGTCCCGGTCAGTTGACGTTGCACAAGAGTAATCTTTGTTGGTGAAGGTGTAGACACAGGAATAGCAGCGGGTCTCGATTTTTTTTTCAGGCAATTCAACCTACAAGACCATTCCCACAAAATCACCATGTTAGGACTTAACACTTCAGCTATAAAAGGTTTACTTAAGATGTATTTGACCAATAAACTTTGGGGGGCTAATTGTTTTTCGAGCCATGCCATGCCACACGGTGCCTGTCAAGTTAAACTACCCACATGGCGTACCCACCTTTATGTGCTTGGCTGAAGCGTTCAAGAATACAATTAGATTCCCATAAATTTTGGGGATTTCCACTCAAATGTCGTGCTTTCCCATAAAAATCATGTCCATAACATTTTGGGATTTCAGAAAAACTTGTCCATCTGTTCCCCCACTTTTTCTATGTCTCAGATTTGTGGGCTTGAACCGAGACGCCCTCATGGCATTGAACTCGGCTTCACCATCGCCGATACTCACCACATTTTTCCAGCTTTTTCCCTCGTAGGCGTGTTTGATGACTCGCTTCATCGCAGTCTGGCGTAGAAAACGCGCCAAAAGCTTTCGACAGACCGGGCATCGATGGCGCCTACCCTCTGGGAAACATACAAAAAACGATGGAAAATCACCATTGTTAAGGGGTAAATCAACTATTTCTATGGCCATTTTGCAGTTCGCAAACTGTTAGTTTACCAGGCCGGGTACATCTGACTGTTTTAATTCACCGGTCGCTGACCATTCTGAAATTGTGGGAATCCCATAGGAAAAACACCAGGTTCATCCCCATGAACCCATGGTTTCGTTTGGGGGATCTGGGTGAGACGGCGGATCGTTAAACTTGAAAATCAAAATGATAACATATGATAACGATACCTATATAATTATATCATTCAGGATGATTCTAAATAATCGCTATAATTATTGTCATTATAATTCTTCTGAACTACGTCAACTTCAAGTACTTCACTAGCTCAAAATGAATCGCCCCAAATCCAAGGCTCCCTATGTTTAGCATGGCCCAAGAAAAATGGATAGTTTATGATATTTATATAGATAATGATAGAGAATAACATGATATTCATATATGATATTCTGATAGTTTATGATATTATGATATTTTTTTAAAGATAGAGACTAACATGATTTATATGTATGATATTTATTAAATAACCTGATGTGTAAAATCCCAAAGCTGACTTAATGTACTTCTGAGGCCCAAGTTGCGGATGCTGTCAGATCTGAAGAACATGACAACCCCCTACAGTATAATACCTTGGTACCCTGGCTGCGGATATCACAATTGATCCAGTTTGGAACATAAAGATGTGTTTATCTATAGTCCATATATATAATAATTATATATAGGATTATGTATGTATATATGTATATATATATATATATATAAATGTATATATGTACGTGTGTATATATATATATATACACGTACATATATACGTACATATATACAGTACATGTTATACTAATTGTATCAGCTCATGAAACAAAATAAATTGACCATGTATGCCAACCTCCTTGATAAACTCATTAAATGGAACATCAGAAACAACAACTCTTCCAACTTGTCCAGGAATGTATCCCAATGACACACCATCGGCGAATCATAGATTTAAGACCGGACCGACAATTTCTAAGAGGATTTCTGACGGAAATGTGTATATGTATATATATTATATAATGGGGCGTTGCATAAATGTGGATACCCCAATAATTCAATAGCTGGATGGTTTATACTGGAAAATCCTATTTAAATAGATGATTTGGGGGTACACCCCATTTTAGGAAACCTCCATATATATATATATATACATATATACATATAAACATCGCAACATGACCATTTATTAACCTACCATCATCCATTCATCAATTATTGTTCCCTAGCCCCATTATTTTGTAAAGTCTTGCCTGCGTGCCTCCATGAACTGTCTGTGGTACCTGCTCCTTTTCATGATACAACCCTATTGTTTGTAGATTAAATCATGTCAAATCCAAGTTTTCTGCAGGTTGCATCAAGTTACATCCCCATTTTTTGAGAGGTAAAGTCCCATTGTGCGCAAGCCGCACATCCTTCTTTTGGGATACTGATAGTTACCCTCACCATAATCTCATCCATCATCCATTTTTCCCATCATCCACCCATCACGCAACCCGCAGCCGCACCTCCTTCTTTTTCATGGCGCGGTTCATGATGATCGTCTCCTGTTCCTCCGCAGCCATCTGGCTACTATGTCGGCACTCTGTGGCCATGACACCTGGCGAGACGCTGTGGAATTTTAAGGAACGGGTAACAACAAACATGGTTACCCGCTGGTAAACTAACATAGCTATTGAAAATTGTCATTTATAGTTGATTTACCCACTAATAATTGCGATTTTCCATAGTTTTTTGTATGTTTACCAAAGGGTAATGATTGTTAATAGTGATATCTGGTGATTTAATGGGTTTATACTTGGGCATATGGGGGGTTCCTAACGTGAAGGATATCCAGTCGTCACATCAGTCGTCACCATGGTTGTTTCAATACTAACATGATCTAACCACTTGGATGATTTGTGGCACTCCCATTTTAGGAAAGAAAGCTCCATATCCGATCTGGGTAAAGCCATTCTTTTGGCCATGTTCATGGGAAAATTGTGGTCAAGCATTTGATTTTTAGGGTAGATCAACACAACACATGAAGCAAAAAAAAGATGCCATGGTCAGTGTTGACTGGTTATTTTAGACTGAACCTAGCTAATTGATTTAATTGATTGGGGATTACGATAGGCCACAATTAAAGGGATACCTATGAACCAAACAGTATTTCATGAGATGAACATAAAACCATTCCCTCGAGGGTGTATGCTCTATCGATATAAAGATATGCCCGGTCAGTACGGACATGCTTTGCAAGAACTAGTATACCAAAAGAACACATATCAAACTAGTTCCATGAATCTGGCTGGATGTATTCTTTGCTGCACATGAAACACATCCTAAAAACAAGCCAGCAATCGATTTGTCACATGTTTGACCTGGCTTCGCAGTGGTTAGAGATATGACATACAGTATACCCTCTGGTAAATTAACATAGACCCTGAAAATAGCCTAGTTTTAATGGAAACTAATCTTCCAAACCCTATCTGCCAGGTCTGTGTTAATTTACTGGAGGGTACTATTTGTAGATACCCCAGGCAGTGGTGGATGGTGTGAAAAAGACACTCACCGGTTGCACGGCGAGCCAATTCATTCGACTTCGCCCCTTCGCCCTGGTATCATTCCAAACAGTGCCTGGTCAGTCACCCTAGTGTACAAATGTCCCCGATAAAAACGATTGCCCTCTTCAGAATTTGATCAGTGAGACATGATAATTATATCAATTGTTATTGTGGTGACCAATGACCAAATGAATATCATGATTTTAGGTGTGTGTGTGTATATATATATATATCTGGTTGGTGGTTTTAACCATCTTGAAAAATATTAGTCAATGGGACGGATTATCCCATATATCATGGAAAAATATAAAATGTTTGAAACCACCAACCATTATATATATATATATATTTTTTAATGATATGAATGCCCGGAATTTCTTGGTGATTGTCTTTAATGGCACCAGCTGTCATCCCAATTGCTCAGCTGGTCGCCTTGCGAGATGACAAAGGTCTCGCTCGCATACACGACCTGAATTCCTGGCAGAGCACGTTTGTTTCTTTGGTGCCCAAGTCATCATGTTTGTTTGTCTATGTATATACATAATATATCTATATAATATACAGTAAATAATGTATATATATATATATACACATACTTGTATATATATATATGTATATATATATATATTTGTAGTCACGATAATAATAATGTGCTCTCCAAAAAAATAAACATGCATTCCATTCATTCATCCTCAAAACATATTGCTTTTGAAAGCTGTGCTTTTGTTCCAAGCAAATGTGAAGCAGAACATTCAGAGACCTTTATTGTATTTTTTTGTGCCCATAATGTCCCGTCATTTTGATAGACGCAAGAATGAAACAAGTGGGAGCCATAGGCTAGCTTCCATGTAAGGATGGACAAAACCACGCAAAACCTTTGACATGATGAACACTACTGCAAAGCATATTTCTTGTTTAATTACCCCAAAAATTGAACGGTTTCGGACACACACACACACTGACAACTTGTGGATTTCCTCGGTCAGTACACCCACAGTGGGGTCACCTCCAGTATATGATACAATGACTTAAGATATTATACAATGACTTAAGATACTAGCCTTGCAATTAAACAACAACTGAAATGTGTATGGTTTATAGGCATCCAGCGGCATCCATCTAGTAAAATGATGTAAAATGATGTAAAATGGGAAGCTTGAAACAAATGGATATGAATTCCCAACATGTGGATTGATAACCATCCCCTATTAGCCATGCCATGGCACACCTGGGGACCTGGGGACCTGACGTGGACCCATGACCATGACCCAGATCTTGTATCCCCAAGCGCTGACGACGCCTTCTTCTTCCCACGCGCTTGCAAGCTTTGGCATAAAGGCGCTCATGGTATTCCTGAGTTGAATGCCCCGGAAACCACTTTGCGCCATTTTGGACAAAGGACAAAAAGAAACAAACTCTGGTTGAACTTCAAACAACCTGGTTGTGAATGTTGGTGCCCCAAAACCGGGAAAACAATGGAATAAACAAAGGTATGTTGAAGTATACTTAAGTCACGTGGATTCAAACCAAAATTCACAAACAGGTGGAGAGCAAACCACACCACCCAAATAGAGTTGTAGGAAACTAGGATTGAAGAAGCTGGTGCCCCTTCAACAAATATATATATATACCCTCTGGTTATTTAACATAGCCATGGAAGCCATGGTCCATAGAAATAGATGGTTTACCTATTAATAGCATGATGGATCTTTCCATGGCAAACTGTTAAATAACCAGAGGGTAATTCCTATCAACCATCATCAAATCCCATTAAAGCACAATTGTTGTTGGTTACTAATTATTCCCAATATATAGAAACATATAAAGGACGGCTGAATTGCTTCAAAAGGGAATGCTGCGTTTTGTTGCACCAATTCTGCTGATGGACAAGAAGAAGATGCACCAATCGCAAAAGGCAAAATGCCGGTTTGTACGCAAAACAACATGATTACAAATGATTAATAATGGTTAATCATGGCTATATCATGGTCAATAATGGTTAATAATAAATGATTAATAATGAATCTGGTTGGTGGTTGACAAACCCCTCTGAAAAATATGAAAGTCAGCTGGGATGATGAAAGTCATATATGGCGGACCATAAAAAATGCTCCAAAGCACCAACAACTTCTTGAAGGAAAGCTGGTCTTTGTAAGGGAATTCTACATATTTGCGCATTGGATACTGCATTTTGCGAGAGGAAATCCACATGTCAAAAACACACAGCATATTGTGTAGCAGTATTGGCTTTCAAAGGCATACCATTCCATAGACAGAATATGTTCGAAAAAATGTTGCAGTCTCTCAAAAGAAGCACATGTTTTAGAGGAGTTCGGAAAAAAATGGATACAGCTTCTAGAAAGAAATACATTTACTGCCTCATAGGCAAAAACAACTGTGAACCGTGGCAACAAAAGTGACTACTGTCCACGACGCGATACTCGACTTAACCAGAGGAGTGTTGCCCTGCAAGGGAAGTTAGGGAAAGCTAAGGGAGAAGCCGAAACCGTGCCGCAGAACTATCTCTGCCTCTGGACATGGTTGCCTAGATGTAGATATTTTCAATATGTTCAGTTGTTTTTCAATCTTTCCAGTATTTTGTGTGGTTTCCGTTAACTGTTGTTCTTTCTCTCTCTCTCTCTCTTTCTCTGTCTCTCTCTCCCTCTCTTGTGCATTTCTGTGCATACATGTGCACATGTGTATATATGTGCATATATGCTTACAGCTGCACATTATAATATAATATATACTATTATAAATATAGTTGTATATATATAGTTATATATATATATGTAAATGCATATATATATAAATATGATTAATTATAAATAATTAATAATCAATTAATTATATGTACATGGTGCCACACCTTTATTTACCTACTCTTAATCAAATAACTAGAAACAAGCCCTCCTATATTAACACAAACCATTTGGTGGACTAGAGACATAGCATTTGGCAGACTTTCGGGGAGGAGGTAGCATATGTATGTTACACATTTGACATAATCACATCATCATGTATACAATGATATATGGATATGCGTCACCAGAAATCTTACTTTGGATACTCATCTACCCAAGTTGTGAGCGTTTTGCATGTTTTGCCAAAAAAAACACAAAAAAAAACACAACCATATCCTCATGTAAATGCTATGAACATAGTATATAATAAAACAGTTGGCAAAAAAGGATGTTTCATCCCCAGATGCATCAAGCAATTCTTGACCCATGCCCCATGACTAAGGTTCAAGTCACTGGGCCGCCTTTAAGGACCAACAAAATGCTGGCGATGATTGCCCATGAAACATCAACACTTTTCATGACCTTCCATATGTTCCATTAACATCACCAACTATCTGCATAAACTGAAAGTTTGAAAGCTCGGTCATTTGGGGATACTTAAAGTACCCTTGCGTTCATCGTCATTTCAACTGTGACATCATCGTCAGGTCGTATCCAATTTTGGGTGGTTTGATCTATCTTGATCACTCCATCAAATGGAATTTCATAATCTTGACCCATGCCCAGAACACCCATGCCAATTAGTAAGCGGTTGGTAATTCACAACAGGAGTTTTTCCCATTCATAGAATTTCATAGATAGATTTACAGTATTTCGCTATCCCCATCTCCATATGTTCTCCCTTCATGTTTTTTAATGTCGATCTACCAGCGCGCCTGAACACTGACACTTACTATCATCATAAGAACCTCAGTCAGGTGTGGCCACACTATTTGGAGTAACTGCGTCAGCCAAATAACGTTTCTTGGAAGCCGTGTACTCGCATTCGATGAAGTTCTGGATGAGGTTCTGGAGGGACTCCTTCTCATCAAAGATTGTGCAGATCTTTTTCAAGTCCTTCCGGATTTCAGCTGGAGCCAACCGGGGCTTGAGCTGGAAGACTGAAAAGGCACGGACGGCTTCGAAGGTAGGCCATTCGCAGTGCAAAGCCTCTGTCGCTATCTTCACCCAGCTGGCCATCCGGTCGTAGCAGTCATTGATGATCTGCAAGGTGACATCGCATGTCTGAGAATAGGCTACCCAAAATTTAATCATCATGTTCATTATTTTTCCACATAAATACTATATATGCACCAGGCCCTGCCACCCCCCCCTCCCCCCCCCATATGGGATGGGTCCCATATACTGGTCCCATATGAGATCTTCCCCCTCCCCCCCTGTGGTGTGGTGGGGGTGTGGCACTGTCCCCCTCCCCCCCCTGTGGTGTGGTGGATGGGTCCCATATACTGGTCCCATATGAGATCTTCCCCCTCCCCCCCCTGTGGTGTGGTGGGGGTGTGGCACTGTCCCCCTCCCCCCCCTGTGGTGTGGTGGATGGGTCCCATATACTGGTCCCATATGAGATCTTCCCCCTCCCCCCCCTGTGGTGTGGTGGGGGTGTGGCACTGTCCCCCTCCCCCCCCTGTGGTGTGGTGGGGGTGTGGTATGGTATGGTGGGTATGTATGGTGTGTATGGTCGGTCTGGTATGGCATGTTTGGAAAGTATGGTATGTTTGGTATGTATGGTAGGTATGGTATGTATGGCATGAGTGGTTGGTATTGTATGGATGGTAGGTATGGTATGTAAGTCTGTTGGATATGGTATGTTTGATATGACAGTATGTATGGTCTGTATGGTATGTATGGTTACTATGATGGGTATGGAATATGTCCTATCTAAGGTAGGTATGGTATGTATGGCATGTATGCTTGCTATTGTATGTATGCTATTGTATGTATGGTAGGTGTGGTAATTACATTTCATATGTATGGTATGTATGGTATGTATGATAGATATGATAGGTATGGTATGCATGGCATCATTGACATGTATGGTAGGTACGGTATATGTTCAACAGAGGTAGTGTTGTCAGAGTACACAGGTAGTAAACAGGAAGTAGATACAGTAGATACATAGCACATGTATGTATGACTATAGGTAGCACGTAGGTACTTTGAAGGAGTATGTGTGCTACGTAGGTCGCCTAAAAAGGTAGCATGTACCTAGTAAATGCGAGGCTGGTAGTCAGAAATGCTGCAAAGACCTAGCAAATACGACGCTGGACCTCAGAAATGCTGCCAATAGCTTGCAAATAGAAGGGAATTGGGGCTACTACCTGGGGACCCAACCCATGGGGGGGGGGGTGGAGAGACGGAGGACGGGACCATATATATATATTAATGTGTATTTAAAACAAAAAACTATTTAATTGCTGGTAAAACAAGACTAAACCATGCCCAAATGTATAATTTCTCTGGGTGGTAAAAAAACATCAACATATTGGTGGTTTATTCATTTATTGCTTAAACCACACAAGCAATATTTATACCTTGCATTAGATTGCATTTCCTGTGGTTTCAAACATGTTCACATCTATCCAACCGCGACTCTGTTGCCAAGGCCGTCGCGACAAAGTCACGCAACACACCTGACGCGAAGTCTCATCCGATAGATGTGAACCAATCGCTTGAACTATATTTCGATGTAAGCCAAACTGGTTGGTGGTATACCCACCCCTCTGAAAAATATGAAAGTCAGTTGGGGTTACTATTCCCAATATATGGAAAAATAAAAAATGTACCAAACCACCAACCAGATATGGTTTCACCATCCCAATTTTAGTGATGTGAAATTAATTAACAAAATTGAAGCCAACGGATTTATTGCTTATGCCCAGTTATATCTCCACTTTAGGAAAATCAAATCTGTTTGAATCCAGCAACCTATACAGATTTTGGATGTTTCACCAAGACTTTAGATTTCATCAACAAAGCAGGGTTTGAATCATGTTCCCAATATTGATCACCGAAACCGGGGAGTGTATCATCAAAAGAAATGAAATTCATGAACCAGACCACAAAGTCAAGGCGTCAAACATGGATAAACAGAATGGGAAACCACACACACACCACCGTCCGTTGGTTAAATCCCCATGTTGGTTAATCAGCCATCATCAACCATCAGCATCTAGGTGGCTAATTACACATTACATCCCATATTATGGATGCTTGTTGAAGCCCGTTTTTTAGATATCATATAATAGATACATATATACCCATTGTATCCAATGATATCATTAACACTGTTTTACCATATGAATATTCACACTGTTTTACTATATATTTATACTGTTTTCAATGATAATTCACCATCATGCAAATGTTACCACTGTTTTACCCATATGAATATGATACCCATACGATCCCAAAGCCTCGGTGTCAGACTAGCAGTGACTACCAGGTTACCAGGTTACCAGGTCATCCATGGCTTAGGGATGATTTGGGGTATACCCATTTTAGGATGTCTGTATATATATACATATATATGGCCATATAGAGACACAATGATATACATGGAGTGTGTATAAATATATATATATATATGTATGCATACATGTACGTATGGATGCATGTATACATGCATGTATGGATGTATGCATGTATGTACTATTTATTGTAAATAATACAATAAAATTATTTACCTGATATGTATATATGGGTATAATATATGTATGTAGTAAGTGTATACATTATTGCTACTACTACTATATATATATATGTAAAACGTGCAATATATGTATAATTTCTAACATAGAGTCTTTATACATTATGTATAACAAAAAACAATTATAACACATATATATATATATATATATGAGGATTTAACATATGTTCCAGTTATAATAAACGGTCTATTTAAATGTATTTAACGCACCATGGATCCACGTGGGATGGCGCCACTTTTCGCGGCGCCTGGCCCAAAGCTGAGGCGGCCGTCACGAAGGATCGTGCCGCTTGGTCCAGTTCCGCCAGTTGCTGTAGGTCCTGCGGAGCGAATGAACATCATGGGATGATATAGGCTCATATAGTTATATGGGGTCCTGTTTATAGCTGATTTACCTATTAAACATGGTGATTTAATGGGATTTACAGTAATGGGATTTAATGGGATTTAATGGGATTTATTTATATGGAAAAAAATGCTAACCTGGTTGGTGGTTTTAACCAGCGCTAGAAAGGTTTTTAGGATTTGCTGTGAAAGTAAAACCTGTGGGTTCTATTTATCTCAGGTACCCTCTGGTAAACTTACAGTTTGCTATTGAAAATGACCATAGAAATAGTGGATTTACCCATTGAAAATGGTGATTTCCCATAGTTTTTTGTAAGTTTACCAGAGGGTATACGGTATATAGTTATATGGAATATGTTAACTATAATAGTTATATGGAATAGTTATATGACATACTTATATGGGATGGTTATATGGACTCTGATAATATAACATAGCCACTATATGGTATAAGATGGCTTATATATTGGAATAATTATTTGGATATATATCTACATACATGGCCAATCTTAGATACCCTGCAAGAAAATAAATTCTTAGCTGGTAGTAGATATTCCCATTGATACCAAAAGACTAAAGGATTAAAGTACCTATCTAAGATTGACCTAGTATATTGGAAAAATAGTGGGATAATATAAAAGATAGCTGAGTTGGTGCGTTTATAACCCCATAACAGCTGGTTTTATGATAATGGAAAATCCTACGAACGTTTGGATGACATATCCTCTGGTAATGACTGTTCCAGTTGTTGAAGCTATGTCACATAGAAATAGTTGACTTACATATTAAATGGTTGATGTACTATACAGTAAATAAAATCAACATAGTTGAGTTGATTTCCCATAGTTTTTTGGTGACTTTCCATCGTTTTCTGTATGTTTACCAGGTCGGCCTTTCTCGGCAACATGTGGTGAGAAGAACCATGGTGATTTCCATGGGCAATTCTCTGAATCGTTGATGGGACGACTTGGGGAAGTCATGGATTCAATGAGATTTCCTACAGGATGGGCCCCCAAGATAGCGTGAACCGTTGGTTTATAAGTGGCTGAATTCAATGGTTTATGGTAGATATAACGAACTAGTTTTCATGGGGATTATTTCATGGTTTATAAACCAACTTATAACTGGGGGGCCCCACATTGTGGGATTTTAAGAGATACTGTACATATTGCCCTCTGGTAAATTAACTTGTTGACCCTGAAAAACGCCATTGTTTAGTTGAAACCAATCGTCCAACCCATATCTGCCAGGGTCTATGTTAATTTACCGGAGGGTATATATATATGTATACAAACAACAGCAACAACAACAACAACAAATAATAATAATAATCACAAACAGGTATGTTTTTTTTTGTGTGTCTGAGAATTGCCTATACTTAAATAACATGGTCCAGCGGATGACCCCAGTGACCCATGTGGTATAATACCCCGTTCAAAAAACCTTTGTTAATCCATCTTAATTTACCAGGAATATCAATGATCTTGCAACTTTAATGAGAAAAACCTGCTTCACCAGTGGTTTGGTTGTTAATCATTTACCATCTGGTTATTTAACATAGCCATGGAAAATCACCATTTTTAATAGGTAAACCCAGGTAAACCATCTATAAATGGGCCATCTATACCATGGCTATGTTAGTCGTAACCAGAGGGTAAGGTTGATTTGTTAAAGAAGATCACAGATTTCTAGCCATGGCCTTGAACATAGAATAGCAGGCGATAAGACGCAGATTTTCCTTTCATCCAACTCTAAGAATGCCATAAGACGATGGCATAGCTCGTGGATGCAGCGATTGCTGTTGCCAGCAAGTCATCTGCACATGTTTTTGTTTCGATTTCCAATACTTCTCTATTAGTAGCCTTTTGCTCACATTGGTATAGCTCATGTACCAGTTGACCCACAAGTCTTTTTATGCACTGAACCATCCCTTGCTTTGTGAGGGCAAGAATTTGGATTCGCCATTGAGCAGCCACATGTCGCGTTTGCTAAAATGCCAGTCCTTCTGTTGTTTCAACCACGTCTCATGAACCATTGTGAAACCCATATCAGACTTGAATTCAAAATTCTGAATTCCCTTTTTTCTGATGAAATCATGATAAGCAACCATAATTGTCACACAAATATTCTCACGATTTTGCAGGTCAAACACCCATGACATCCCAAAATTTGATCGTTAACCAAACAGCAATCATAAAATCAACGTATTTTGTTTCATGCGAAAACAAAACACAACAAAGGAGCACACACACAAAAAAAAACGAAAAACACAAAAAGCACGGAACATGTGTGGCAAACATGTGTGACAAACATGTGTGACAAACATGTGACATACTTTGATAGTTTTTGCTATTCACTGTGAAACTGTGAAACCCTCAATCTTTGCAGGTTAAGTACCCATTCTGTTGCTGGGTGGATTGACAAGCGTTAATAATAGGATTTGCTGTAAAAGTAAAACCTGTGGTTTCTATTTCTCTCAGGTACCCTCTGGTAAACATTCACAGCTTGCTATTGAAGCCATGGCCCAGTCGAAATAGTTGATTTACCCATTAATAGCATCGTGATTTTCCATAGTTATGTAAACGTTTACCAGAGGGTATATAGTTATGTGGAAAATCACCATGTTAATGGAATCCTCACTAAAAATGGCCATGTTCAATAGCTATGTAGCAAATTACCAGAGGGTATACCATCATATCTCCTAATAAATCCCATTAAATCCCATTAAATCACCATTTTTAATAGGTAAATCAGCTATAAATGGGACCCACTAGGTACAGTATATCAAAAAGCAATGACTTTTTCACATGTCAGCACTGGATCGACTTGTTAATGGCGAATATCTGGTTTGGATTTTCCATGTTTTTACCCGGCCTGGTAATGACTGCTACATAGCTATTGAAAATGGCCATAGAAATAGTGGGGATTCCCATAAAAAACATGGTGATTTTCCACATAACTATATATCCTCTGGTAAACGTTTACATAACGAACTGGAAAATCACCATGCTATTAATGGGAAAACTCACTTTTTCGACTGGGCCATGGCTTCAATAGCAAACTGTGAATGTTTACCAGAGGGTAAGCCTCTAATGCATAGGTGTCCTCTCAATTTTCTGCACCAAATTTGGGAAATTGTGACTTGGTAGAGTGATCTTCTTCTCTTAATGGTTGCCAAAATTGGTATCCCTCAAACATAATAACAAAATGGATCTGCAACTGGTTCATGATTCATGAGCCTCTTGTCACTACCTGGGATATTGTGATATCCATATATTCCGTATATATATAAATAGAATATATAGGATTATATGGCATATAGGCTTATATATTGGAATATATGGATATAAATGATATAAAATCCATGTCATGCCATGGCCCAGTAAAACACCCCATACTTTTCGCATATTCAGAGTGGCATTTCTGAATGGGCACCGACTCCATGAACAATGACTTGAGAATAGAACTCCAGGAGCTCCAAGAAACATTTTTTTTAAGGCACCAGCTACATAGCGAACTAGAACATCACAATCTTTAGTAGGTAAATCAACTATTTCTATGGGCCATGGCTTCAATAGAAAACTGTAACAAATTACCAGAGGGTGTATCCATATATTCCATATATTCCATATATATATATATATATCATATATTCCATATATGCCATATATTCCATATATTCCATATCCATATATTTTATCTCATTTATATATTCATATATTCCAATATATAAACCTATATGCCAATATAATCCTATATAAATCCTTAGTGATATAATATATGACTGTTAGTTTACCAGAGGGTATACCATCATATTATATCCCATTAAATCCTATGGGAAATAATAGTGATAGCGAATATTATCCCATTATCCCTATATTATCCCACTATTCTTCCAATATATATATATATATAGGGATAATATAGGGATTCATATTTATTATCCCACTATTATTCTAAGTCTATCCCATTCTCCCTATATTTATCTAATTGTTTATTCCCATATTAAATATCTATCTGACTCATGGTTTTTCTTCACAGCAGTGAAAAATCCTTGGACCTGACCTTTGTGGCAGACCCGTGGTCCTCCTGCGAAAACTCCGGCATCTTCTTCTCCTGGTAATTTTCTCGGTTCAGGTTGATATCAATGGCCATTTCAGGAACCTAAATTGAAGGTACCTACCATATATAAGGCCTATATAAGGCCTATGAAAGGAATATTCCCACAAAATATGGCCTTATATGGTACAGTACCTCCATTTTAGGATCCTGGAATTCCCATTGATTGATATGGAAAAGCAAATTGGTGCTATGGGGGACTTACCATATATCAACATGTGCAAACATGTGGTGGTATGGGTTTGGTAGTTTGGGTCTGGGAATTTGAAGTTTACTGAAGCATGTTTTTTGAAACGTGGTTCAAGTTTATATTATAATATAATGTGGTGATATTAACTATCTGTACAGGTTACTATAGATTCTATAGATGACTGACTATTAAAACATGGTGATGTTCCATAATGAACATTAATAAACGCTTAAATTGCCACAGGGTTTTCCCCCTTTAGCCTGATTGGGTGGGTTGCAAAATCCCACGGGAGCAATTTTGTATGACCACTACTGCTTGGCAAATCTCAGCCCTGAACAAATATGTACCCTCTGATAAACTAACATAGCTATGGAAAATGGACCATAGAAATAGGTGATTTACCTATTCAAATAGTGATTTTCCATAGCTTTTGTATGTTTACCAGGCCGGGTAACTTGCAGTGTCTGTTGATTCCCCTGACTGCTGACAGAGACAAACATCATCCATCGGGCATGCAAATGCAACTGACATGATCTGGCTAGTAGAGGTATAAACATATGTTTAATGGGATTCAATGGTGATTCAATGGGATTCAATGGGATTTCTGAGGATATATGATGGATATACCCTCTGGTAAACATACAAAAAGCTATTGAAAATGGCCATAGAAATAGTGAGATTCCCCATTAATAGCATGGTGATTGTCCATAGTTATGTAAACGTTTACCAGAGGGTATGTTTCATGGTCAACTGTAGATAGCCTCCAAAAAAGAAATATCCGCCAGTAATCAAGCATAGCTGGCCCAATACAATGAATATATGTTGTTTAATGGGAACAACATCAAATTAAATGAGAGATTTGCCAAATTGTCATGGCTGCACATAGGGTTTATCTGCAAGTACCGGACCCCAAACATAGATGGTTTATCATCATCGTGACTATTAGAAGAGCCCAAAAAACATGGTTGTATACGAACCATTTTCAGACATACCCATTATCCATCGTCAAGCTATATATGCCTATTATTACTCCCAGTATACCGACTCAATAACTGTGTTTTTTTTCCTCCATCATGATCCCCAACATGGCTATGAAAAATCAGATTCACTCCATCCACCATACGCAACTCAGGCTCCGAAGAAGACCAACGTTTCTGCCAGTAACGGAACTCTTGTTTCTCAGACCTGAGACGATGGGGCCAAAGCGGAAACAAAAAAATGATGCCATAAAAATAGTTCGCTGCCGTTGAAGCAACATGTCACTCATTTAGGTTCAAGATGTGTCAAAGTTATTTGAATTTGGCCATGCCCGAGGACTGCAGACAGGGTGATTGAATCCAGTCCGTGCGCCATTGCGTAGATCTGACCAACCAGTGCTCCTTCCTGCGGGTGCATCGGACGATTTGGCCCACGAATTTCATAGCCAACTGGTTCCAAGTTGTCTGCCACTGCAGCCTTTGCTATGGATAGCGACAGGTGTCCATCAGTGCCTCCCAAGCAGTGTGCCGAGACAAGCCAAGCGTTGGCTCTTTCGTACAGAGTGCCCACAACTTTGCGAGCCAGAGCAAACATCCAGCTTGTGACTGGAATGCCAGCTGCCAGAGCTGTGTCTAAGCGTCCTTCGGGAAGCGGAGCGCTGGGCATCGCACTCATTGGCAGCTTGTGGCCTGCTGCCGCTCCAATCAGCTCAACGTACACTGACTCATCGTTGTACAAGTCTGCTGGGCCGAACTTGAGGGTAGTGTAAACCACTGCTGCGGCTTGGAGATCCCTCGTCAGTGGAGTCCCGGTATCTGTTTATATGTGTGTTTTCTTTTTTTTTAAGGGAACACCTAAAAACACATCTGACAAAGAACTGCAACCAGGGATGGCTGAAGCTTGTTTTAGCCACATAGCTCAAACGCTCAGGCTTTCCTATTCCAGAAAGAAACATATTTCATGTAAGTGCGGTCATCTGCACGCAGGCTTCATTAAACACACATATATATATATATATGTACATATAAAGTTGAATAGATATTGGAAAATTGTTAGATGTATGTATTAAAACAGAAAAATAAAGAAAACACACTTTTGTGTTTTTGTTTTTTAATCACAGGTTCCTGTTGGTCTTTCACATTTGGCAGAATCATGCTTAGATTTTCCCAGAGATAATGCAGAACATGGATACCCCATAGATTTCACCAACACCATTGTGTTGAGATTATCCATGATTTAATGGCTACATAAAATCTGGAAAAACATATAAAATTCATTGTATAACCTGAAATAAGGACATTTTGGGACAGTTACCCCTACTAACAGTCACCTACAGTATCCAGCGGATATATAATGTATCCAACACATTTAAACACCATATTCACCAAACAAAATTTTCACCGGCCAACCCCACAAAACGGGAACTGCGCAAATCTCCAACCCTCCCATTCTGTTTCCTGGCTCAATCTGAAAGGTCTTGCAAACATCAACAAAACATGTGTAAAAATAACTCCATCGTCCTTTTTGCCAACATAAACAACTCATTTTCTAAGTAGTCATAGTTAACTCCGTATAGTTAATGGCATAATGGGATTATACCCACACTACTAAACAGTCGCTACCATTTTCCATTCTCAGTTGGTCAAACATTTCCACGATAGTTCAATGGGAATTTCAGGATCCTAAGATGGAGGTACGTTAGTACCATATAAGACCATATTTTGTGGGGATATTCCCTTACATAGGTCAAACATAGGCCGTGTATATATGGTAGGTAGCTCCAATCAATCGGTTCCCGTTGCATGGCCATTGACCAATCAATCAATCGGTTCCACGTTATCGATTTCGCAGGCATCTGGGATCCCCAGGTTTTGAACAGCCCAGGACCTTACAACAATAGTGATACCCTCTGGTAAACTAACATAACTATGGAAAATCACCATGTTTAATGGGAAAATTCACTATAAATGGCCATTTTCTATAGCTATGTTAAATTACCAGAGGGAATTTTGTTCTATCTACTTGGATCTACTTGGATCTCATTGTCTAAATATGCACATATATATAATATTATATATATACATCACATGTACAATATGCAAATTTTCTATATCATCATGAAGGTAATTCACATGGAGCCTTTAAAGACATCACAACGGTCCAACGGTCCAGGGACAGCCATGAGGTCGGAAATAAGGTATCATCCCAGTCCACAATGATCACCTCAGATCTGCCAACTGGGGGAATGGGATGTTCCAGTGATGGGATGATGGGTTCAGGTTCTGCTGTAACAAAGCTGGTTGGTGGTTTTTCGCCTACCCCTCTGAACAATGATGGAGTGAAAGTCAGTTGGGATGATGAAATTCCCAATATATGGAACACTAAAACATTCTTCTAACCAACAACCAGAAAGTGTTTTTTTGTTTTTTGGCGATGGCAAAGCAGCAAACATGGGGACTGAACCAAGATTTTGTGGGGTGTGTAGTTGATTTAGGCTAAGTAAGTTGCTATTTGACTAGCTCGGCTTGCTAGGATGATAAACAATTCATAAATAACGATAACTTAAATAATGCTAATGAACAAAAAGAAATGGCAAGAATAAGTACAACAATAATAAACATAGCAATACTAATTTGAAAAAAATAAAGGAAAATAAACAACAATAATAACATATAATTCTAGCTTCAACACCTTGAACCCCGAGAACGATGCCTGTCCTGACATGTTGTTCGTTTTTCCCCCGTGGGAATGCGCTAACACAAGTTAGTTAGATAGAGAGGTAGAGAGATAGATAGATAGATAGTTAGATAGATAGCTAGATAGATAGATAGATAGACATACAGACAAACAAACAGACAGACAGATAGATAGATAGATAGAGAGAGGGACAGATAGATAGATAGACAGACAGACATACAGACAGACAAACAGACAGATAGATAGAGAGACAGACAGACAGACAGACAGACAGACAGACAAACATACAAACAGACAGGCAGGCAGGCAGGCAGGCAGACAGACAGATAGATAGATAGATAGATAGATAGACACACATGTATGTGTGTGTGTGTATATATATATATATAGACGGGTTCCAAAAAATGGGGGTGCTCTACAAACAAAATAGTTCAAAAAAGTAGAACACTAAGACCAAGAATCACCAACCGGCCATGGTGATAGGAGTCAGTCAAAGCAACAATCGGCAGCAGTAAATTATAACATCCTATAGCCAAGAATGCGTGACAATAATGTGATATACAACATGATATAACAAACAATATTGTTTTACCAATAGATATCGCAGATATCTGGATGATTCTGGATGTCACCAACGAAATGTGTGTAGCCATCCATCAAGATTGGGTACCAACAGGAATCGAGGATAGCAGTGTGACAGGAACAGCATCCATCCAAATCAAATAACATAGATAGAAATAGAAGGTGCATACATCCCCAGGTTACGATAGCTTACTTGGTGCATAAATCTCCCAACACTGGGTGTTTATGAACCAACAAACACTGGAACAGCCACCTTTTTGGATCAGAATGATCAAAGAACAAAAGCTTAAAAAAAAAACATACTATTGATATACCTTCACACCAAGGGCTAGGAGAGCCCAAACTGAAAACTTGGGCTAGGCACATCTGGCTGGCACTTTGAGGTACTATTCATATGTTGGGTTAACAACGGCAAATAAAAACTAGAACATCTTTGGAATACAGTTAATGGTGGGTTAACAATTTAACAACTTATTATATATAATTCTATGTATCCGCCCAAATTAGCATACACAATTAAAGTAAAAAAAACTTCTTGATGTAGCCATGGTCATGAACCCGCCTCAGCCAATCGTTCCTAACGCGGCAAAGATTAACCGCTTGTCCTGAGGGAATCACAAACATGCCTAAAAATCGCAAATTATATCAAACTACAGTATATGAAATTAGAGTATATAGATGTAATGATGTATTCTCTAGTTAAAGATGTGAATTTTCTAGATTTTTTCATGGCCCCTTGGGGCACAGTATGTGTAGCCCAGAGGACGAGAACAACTCCATCTCCATGGCGACGAGCCCAGCCATGTTCGATCGCTATATTCAATGGATTGGTTTAAGGGATAATTGAAACCGGAAAGCCCTGTATTTAATGGGAAAATCTATGGTTTCCGGTTTCAATTTTCCCTTAAACCAATCCATTGATATATGTAATTATCCAGCTTTTATTCAAAAAAAAACTGCAAAGGCCGTCAAATTGTCGCTGTATAACTTTCCAAACAAAACAGCATCATGTTCAAGATCCCATCTAAATCATCTAAGAATCTAGTGAATGTGGGATTCACCCCACCTGGTTAGTGGTATACCTACCCCTCTGAAAAATATGAGTTCGTCAGTTGGGATCATGAAACTCCCAACTGAATGAAAAAATACAAGCTATGTTACAAATCACCAACCAGATATATATATAGCAACCCCCAAAAAGATATGTTCAAGATCCCATCTAAGAATCTAGTGAATGTGGGATTCACCCCACAACAAAGCATCCCTATCACCAGAAATGGGTCGATATATACCCTCAAAAAGCATCCCAGGTGAGGTGAACACGGGGAAGACCTTTGAACTGCCGACAAAATATGGCCCCATATATACCAGTGATATGTCAGTCAGCTATAACATGGTTATAACCCCAAAATGGAATGAAAGGGCCCATTTACAACATTTATAACATTTTTTTTCACCATTTATAACATGTATAACTTTTATTTCGTTGACTGTGGGTGCACATCAACCAAGAGACATGGGATTTTGGTAGATATAACTCCGTATAGTTAATGGCACAATGGGATTATACCCACACTACTAAACAGTCGCTACTTTTTTCCATTCTCAGTTGGTCAAAAATTTCCACGATAGTTCAATGGGAATTTCAGGATCCTGAAATGAAGGTACTGTACCACATAAGGCCATGTTTTGTGGGGATATTCCCTTACATAGGCCTCAAAAATAGGCCTTATTCACTGGCTGCCTCCTCTGTTTCGTGCTCCTCAGCTGCATCTGCTGCATCAGCTTCTGGAGTCGTGTTGGCATATGGCGTCGGTGTAGACGAAGAGCTAGGCTGTCCGTAGCCCTCTCTCATGTTGCTGGCGGCCCCAAGGCCTCCAAACACACATATTCCACACCATGTCAACACCTTCGAAGCTGCTGTCCGTTTCAGCTTCTCACATTGAAGACTCGAGTGAACGATCTTCTTCTCGTCCATTACCAGGCGATCCGAACTGCACTGGATCTCCTGGCAACACTTGTTGCAGACCAGGTGGCTATGGCAGCCACCTTTATACAGGGTAGGTACCATCAATCAATCGGTTCCTGAAATGGCCATTGATTGATCCATGTTTGATGACACCAGAGGGTACTGAGTCGATATAAACCAACAAACATCACTCCAGTGGCCAATTTCAGGAACCTAACTTGGAGGTAGGTATACCATAATCGGAAGGAATCATAAGGTCTAGAATCTATTTTTTAGGCCAAAATTTAAAGGGATATATATATATAATTATATATATATACATATCCCCCCAACAAATCCATGATTTGGGATATTACTTTTAAACAAATGTCGAGTTCCAGTGGATCCGCACCTGACATTCCACCGTTTTTCACGTCGAACACCGAGTGACACCCTGTTCGGGTTCTTGCCACTGAGCACTGGAGGTTTGTTGCGAAAGCTCTCCCACCGAGCGAAGCGAGCGGTTGCTGATGTTGCTGCGTTGTTTGCTCACCAACTGCTCTGCGCCTTCTAAGTGCCTCGGACTCAAAACTTTCCGTTCAGATCAGGGGACCCAGTTTTTTTCCATGGGGAAGCAGCATGAACCAACCGAAAAAATGCTGGTTTCATGGGATTTGATATGATTTCATGGGACTCTATGGCGAACGCAGATTTCCATGAGATTTCATGGCGATTTCACTGGGGATGTGGACATCTCACAGTTCACTACAAGGTGGGGCCCCTTGCCGAATGTTTACCTCGTGTTTTTACTTTCTACCAAGGATTCATGATTATATATTTTCTGAATCCCTGTAGATTTAACATACATATATATATATATATATGTATACATATACAGCTGCAGTATATATATATATATGTATGTATATAGTATATAAATGTACATTGTATATATATATACACACATAAAACCATATGTATTCCGTTTGGGTGGAAAACAAACGCTCATCGGTCATCTGTTCAGTTACTTGTGTTTGCGCTGCATAAAATCAAAAAACCCTGGTGAGCTTTCATTACAACTTTACTGGCATTACCCTCTGGTAAACTAGCATAACTATGGAAAATCACAATTTTTCATGGGTAAATCCACTATAAATGGCAATTTTCAATAGCTATGTTTGTTTGCCAGAGGGTATTTCATCAACATTCCCATATTTTGCATCCTGCAATAGTTTTTCTTGATGGCCTTGCTGCTTTTCTGGCTGTCATTCACAAGTTCAACATCCATGCTACATGTCTGCAGCCGTTTCCCGAAAAACCTTGTAAGTCATGATATAGCCCATTGAGTTTTCATATCCCCACTATGTATTGGCGAAGATATCCTAATATTTCCCAGCTTTACCCGCCAAATCATAGCTCATTTTTTTTGCTTAAAACTTAGCCATTTCTCAAGAGATCACTGATAAACGCCATAGGCTTTTGGGCTGCTTGGGTGCATCCCGGTGCCGAAATGTTAAAAACCACGGTTATAACCTAGTTGTATTTGTGATGTTTGCCCCACTTAAGTATACTTAAAAGAAAGTATCATAAACAATAGCTATTGGAGTTATAAACCAACGTAGCTATCTAGGGGGGACCCGCATTGTAGTTGTATTTGTGATGTTTGCCCCACTTACAAAATGGCATAGCTAATGTATCCATGTCACTTCATTTTGGTGGCCATTTCCCATGATTTCGCATGGCCGTTTCCCCAAACTCATCGGATTGGAATCTGCCGTTTCTCTTCCTTTCGTGGCCGTATTTCCCCAAGAATTTCCCCATGATATTCCCAACAAAATGCCTCCAGCACGTCCATTCCCTGCAGCAAAGTAACACTTGGCTATGGAACATAGCCTAGATGATTTACAAAAAATAAGGCTAATTTGCCAGTTCCAACAAAAAAACACCGTCAGTTTACCTTAAAGATCCTACCCTCTGGTAAACTAACATGTTGCTATGGAAAAACACAATTCTTAATGAGTAAATCAACTATAAATGACCATTTTCAATAGCAAACTGTTAGTTTACCAGAGGGTATGTGATCCATCGTTTTAAAGGGCCCTCGTCTTTCCCCTCCGGGGTGCAACAGGCCATCCTCTTCGAACTCATCGCTCTCGATCATCCGCTTGGGTTCCTCCGGCATCGACACGCAGCGAGCCGGTAGCTCCTGGTAGAGGTGATGGGGCCAGGATGTAGATGTAGAAGCTGTGTGTATACATGTGTATATATAATATGTATATATAACATACAATAACCATATATGTATGTATATAGATATCAGTTATTTCAATCATATGTATTCATTCATTTATGTTTATCTTTTTATAGACTGGGGGTGTGTAATTCCACAGATCTATACTTCTGTCTCCATGAGTTGCTATGGACTTCCGGAGACAGGGACCCGCTAGGCTGACTACATTTGATTGATACGTTTGTTTGATAAGCAGGTCAAATGGGGCTTAACGTGGGTGTATGTATATAACATACACAATTATATTATATTATGTTATATTATTATTATCATACTATAGTATATATATATATACTATACTTCTAGCAATTTCTTGCCCATATTCCAGGGCCGAACATATTCCATGCCAAAATAGCTGGGAAATTTCAGGGAATTGCGAAGACCCCTTTCAGGTGAAATTTGGATTTCATACAGTTTGCCAAGTACTCCTTTTCTTCTGGCACGTACGTTGTCGACTGCACATGTTCTTCCCCAAAGAAGATCCTTACTTTCAACAATTTCTGGAAATGTCATAATTAATAATGTTGAGCTTTCCAAAAATGGATTAATAATGTTCTTATGGGAATTTGTCATCTACACTTTTCAGGATCTCAAAACCCAATTCATAAGCTTTAAGCTTATGTTCTGGCACGCTTGGCTGGCCTTTCATCAGCAGCGCCATCCCCATCTTTCTTGGCATCTTTGTGGCCCCGCAAAGAGCTCTGCACAACAGGATCTGGGAACACAAATCATCGACGATCCTGTTTTCTTCCGTGCAAAATAATTCCACCGATAGAGTACGATGCCACCCCTGGAGTGCGCTAATTTTCTGGAATGCGAAAATAAAACAGTATGCGTGGCCCCCTTCGACCTTCCCCATGGATCCAACCCCAGTTTTTTCCATCATATACCAGAAAATTATCACATTTCACCCTGCTGAGCTTTTTTTTTCTTTTTTTTTTGTTGGTGTCATTTTTGGCCAAAATGGCCTGGAATGCGATAGTATGTGAAACTACAGACGTCTCACGCGAAACCGCTACCTTGCCCATATTCCAGAAAACGTGATTCCAGGCGATTTTAGCAAAAAATTAAAGGACCGGATAACCCCACAAGTCAACTTCTTCCAATAATAAGCATGAAAGGTTGTAGCAGGGACGGGGAAAGAAGGTTAGGGGAAAGGAGGTGGTGAAGGATCGAGAAGTTAAAACAGTTGTGAGTGACAAAGTGGAATGTGAAAGATGGTGTGTGTGTGTGTGTGTGTGACACAGCAGTGTGTGAAAGATGGCGTGTGTGAAAGTTGTGTGTGAAAGAGAGTGTGTGACAAAGTTGTGTGTGAAAGATGGTGTGTGACAAAGTGGTGTGTGAAAGATGGTGTGGCGAAAGATGGTCGGTGTGTGACAAAGTTGTGTGTGAAGGATGGTGTGGTGAAAGATGGTGTGTGACAAAGTGGTGTGTGAAGGATGGTGTGCTGAAAGATGGTGTGGGTGAAAGTCCTGTGTGAAAGTCCTGTGTGAAAGAGAGCATGTGACAAAGTTGTGTGTGAAAGACGGTGTGTGGCAAAGTGCTGTGTGAAAGATGGTGTGTCAAAGATGGTGTGTGACAAAGTTGTGTGTGAAAAATGGGGTGGTGAAAGATGGTGTGTGGAAGATGGTGTGGTGAAAGATGGTGTGACAAAGTGGTGTGTGACAAAGCGGGGTGTGAAACTTGGTGTGTCAAAGATGCTGTTTGACAAAGTTGGGTGTAAAAGATGGTGTGTGAAAGATGGTGTGTTACAAAGATGGTGTGTAAAAGAGGGTGTGTCAAAGATGGTGGGTGACAATGTGGTGTGTAAAAGAGGGTGTGTCAAAGATGGTGGGTGACAATGTGGTGTGTGAAAGATGGTGCGTGAAAGATGGTGGGTGACAAAGTTGGGTGTGAAAGAGGGTGTGCGAAAGATGGTGTGTGACAAAGTGGTGTGTGAAAGAGGGTGTGTCAAAGCTGGTGCCACGCCTGCCACGCAAAACGACAGTGGATGTGAGTTTGTGCCACGCCGTGCACGCAAGTTTGCCCGGCGTCACAAGGCGCCCAAGCCAGTCCCAAGCGCGCCACCCAGTGCCATGCGTGCCACGCCTTGCCACGGAAAAACAGACGGGTAGATGTGAGTTCTGACCACGCCTGCCACGCAAAACTCGTACAATAGATGTGGAGGTTTGTGCCCGCCTGCCAGCAAAGTGCCGCGGGCGTCAACAGGCCGCCAAGCCAGTCCACGGCGCGCACCAGTGCCATGAGTGCCACGCCTCTGCCCGTGAAACGAAGGTGGAGTCAGGTTGTGCCACGCCTTGCCACGCAAAGTGCATGTCAGGTTGTGCCACGGCCTGCACGGAAAAGGCTGCCGCGAGTCAAAGCGCACAGGCCAGTCCAAGCGCGGCCACCCAGTGCCATGAGTGCCACGCCTGCCACGTGAAACGACGGTGGATGTGAGTTTGTGCCACGCCTGCCACGTGAAACGAAGGTGGGTGTGAGTTTGTGCCACGCCTGCCACGCAAAGCGCCGCGGCGTCACAGGCGCCCAAGCCAGTCCAAGCGCGCCACCCAGTGCCATGAGTGCCACGCCTGCCACGTGAAACGAAGGTAGATGTGAGTTTGTGCCACGCCTGCCACGCAAACCGACAGTAGATGTGAGTTTGTGCCACGCCTGCCACGCAAACCGACAGTAGATGTGAGTTTGTGCCACGCCTGCCACGCAAAGTGCCGCGGCGTCACAGGCGCCCAAGCCAGTCCAAGCGCGCCACCCAGTGCCGTGAGTGCCACGCCTGCCACGCAAAACGACGGTAGATGTGAGTTTGTGCCACGCCTGCCACGTGAAACGAAGGTGGATGTCAGGTTGTGCCACGCCTGCCACGTGAAACGAAGGTGGATGTGAGGTTGTGCCACGCCTGCCACGCAAAGTGGCGCGGCGCCCCAGGCGCCAAATCCCGGCCCAAGGGCGCCACCCAGTACCATCTGTCCCACGCCTGCCACGTGAAACGAAGGTGGATGTCAGGTTGTGCCACGCCTGCCACGTGAAACGAAGGTGGATGTGAGGTTGTGCCACGCCTGCCACGCAAAGTGGCGCGGCGCCCCAGGCGCCAAATCCCGGCCCGAGGGCGCCACCCAGTACCATCTGTCCCACGCCTGCCACGCAAAACGACGGCAGATGTCAGTTTGTGCCACGCCTGCCACGTGAAACGAAGGTGGATGTCAAGTTGTGCCACGCAAAACGACGGCAGATGTCAGTTTGTGCCACGCCTGCCACGTGAAACGAAGGTGGATGTGAGGTTGTGCCACGCCTGCCACGCAAAGTGGCGCGGCGCCCCAGGCGCCAAATCCCGGCCCAAGGGTGCCACCCAGTACCATCTGTCCCACGCCTGCCACGCAAAACGACGGCAGATGTCAGTTTGTGCCACGCCTGCCACGTGAAACGAAGGTGGATGTCAAGTTGTGCCACGCCTGCCACGCAAAGTGGCGCGGCGCCCCAGGCGCCAAATCCCGGCCCAAGGGCGCCACCCAGCACCATTCTGTCCCACGCCTGCCACGCAACACGGACGGCAGATGTCAGTTTGTGCCCATTGCCTGCCACGTGAACGAAGGTGGATGCAAGTTGTGCCACGCCCTGCCAGCAAAGTGGCGCGGCGGCCCCAGGCGCCAAATCCCGGACAAGGCGCCCACCCAGTACCATTCTGCTCCACGCCTGCCACGCAAAACGACGGCAATGTCAGTTTGTTGGCCACGCCTGCACGTGAAACGAAGGTTGGATGTGATTATGTCAGGTTGTGCCACGCCTGCCCGCAAAGTGGCGCGGCGCCCCAGGCGCCCAAAATCACGCCCAGGGCCGCCACCAGTAGTACCATCTGTCCCAACCTGCCACGCAAAACAGAAGGTGTTTTTGTTTTTGTTGATAACGTGTTGGGTGGGACAAAGTGGTTTGTTGATAAAGTGTGTGTGGGACAAAGTGTGTGGTGACAAAGTGTGTGGTGACAAAGTGTGTGGTGACAAAGTGTGTGGTGACAAAGTGTGTGGTGACAAAGTGTGTTAAAGTGTGTGTGGGACAAAGTGTGTGGTGACAAAGTGTGTGGTGACAAAGTGTGTGGTGACAAAGTGTGTGGTGACAAAGTGTGTGGTGACAAAGTGTGTTAAAGTGTGTGTGGACAAAGTGTGTGTGGACAAAGTGTGTGTGGACAAAGTGTGTGTGGACAAAGTGTGTGTTGACAAAGTGTGTGGTGACAAAGTGTTTGTTGATAAAGTGTGTTAAAGTGTGTGTTGGACAAAGTGTGTGTGGACAAAGTGTGTGTGGACAAAGTGTGTGGTGACAAAGTGTGGGTGGACAAAGTGTGTGTGGACAAAGTGTTTGGTGACAAAGTGTGTGTTGACAAAGTGTGTGTTGATAAAGTGTGTTCACAAAGTGTGTGGTGACAAAGTGTGTGTGGACAAAGTGTGTGTTGACAATGTGTGGTGACAAAGTGTGTGGTGACAAAGTGTGTGTGGACAAGTGTGTGGTGACAAAGTGTGGAGGAGGGCGGAGGAGGAGAAGGCGGAGGAGGAGGAGCCCGGGATACAGAATCAAAAACAAGAACCCCACACAAAGATGTGGGGAAAAAACGAAAAACAAAAAAACGAAAAAAAAAAACGCAAAAACCGAAAAATCACCGAGTACGAAGATTTTATGGAGTTCGAAGATCTTGCGGAGTGCGTGGATTTTACAGTATGTGCACGTCCCTAGCTGTGGAGTGCGATGCCGCTGGAGTGCGAAGAATTTGTGGAATGCGAAGAATTCCGAGTATGCGTGGCTGGTATAGAGACCACATAGGGAAATTTCGGGGCCAGAACCAAAATTCCAATCCCAAAGCCAGCCCAAACTTCCAGGGGCACACCAGTGGGTTCTATTTTTCCGAGTTCACCTTGGGTGAGGTCCCGGGGAAGAAACTTGCTAATTTTTACTCAGCCAACCTTCAAAAACGTTACCTTTGACAACCCTGTCCTTCTTCGGTAGACAAATGAGGAAACTTCCTTATCAAAGCAGCCTTCAATTCATTCAACGTCCACAGCTGCTTTGGAACGACATAGGGGATAGAAAGCTGTGGAGGGGCATTCAGTGGATTCGCCGTGGGCCAACTGTTCCCTCCA